AAAAAATGGAATAAAAGGTTTTTCTGAAACATTATACAATATGTAGGGCAAGCTTAATTATCAAAGTTTAATTTAGCACCTCAAACTCCCCATTTAAAGGTAAAAATGTCCATTTTTCACGTGAGTTCTCCAAGTAAATAGAATTTTTTTCCACAGAAATCCGTAACGTTTTCCAGGAACTCCGTGACAGTTATCATAAGAACTCCAAACAAGTTATCATAAGAACTCCATCCTTCGTGTAACACTTCCTCCCCCGCGTAAACGACCATTAGTTAAACAGGGAGATTTTTATATTCAAAACGAGAAGCCATAAAAATTTGATACGTTGATAAACGTTGAACGAAGCATGCATTTTTAACTTTGGTTTATTATCGATGCAAAACAACAACAACAATATCAAGTTGTGATAATATTTCCTTGTATAACTTCATTTGGCCAGTTACATTGAGGTAACACCCGAAAAAAGTACACACAATATTGTAAAACGAAAGATGCCAAATATTGAATAAGTTCATTAGATACGACTTTGACATTTACGTAACATCAGGTTGACCAACGTTTATATGCCTGTTTGAGGGGGGGTTGTTTACTCCACACGGACACAGTATAGGACATTTGGCGACGTTTTAGCTTAACTGGTGGAGGAAGACCTCAGGTGCCTTTCCGTGCACTATTTCAGGCAGGAACGGGCACCTGAGTAGAACCACCGACGTTCCGTAAGCTAGCTGGATAGTTTCTTCACAAGAAAGAATCCAAAAGTCCCTGTCGGGATTCGAACCAACAGCGGTGAGGGGCAAGTGGTTTGAAGTCAACGACCTTAACCACTCGGCCACGAACGCCCCTATAAACTTCAAGTAATACGTCGTCAGTACACTTGTTTTATGTTTCATGTATACGTATAATTCAATGTACATGTATGTTAATAATATTTGAGTTTTATGTCAGTGTCGAGTCACTGTTTAATTTAATATACATTTTGTTTTTATGTTTTCTATATTCAGCTTTTATGGAATTGCACGAATTTATCATTTACCCCTCGTATACAACAATTCTAATCGTTGGGTTAAATACTTTAATCCCTGACATCTAATGAAATCTAAGAAATTATAATTGATTACGTCTATTAGGAGTATGCACAAAATATGTTTTGGAAATTGTATTTTGTATTACTGATCACATTAATTTGGTTTATTCTTAAAATACCGCAATATTTTTATGACACTTTGTATTCATACTTTGTTTACCTATAATGTGTATAGATTAAAATTTAACACATTATGCAAAATATATGTTTGGTTTACATTTAAAAGGAGACTAAAGATATTACCAGAATTTAAAATATCAAATTTTATCACAATATATCTTTAAGTTATATAATCTTGTACAATTACCTTTGTTACATGAGAAAAATATCCAAAATAGCACATGCAATATATTTTTCATCATTAATCACTTTGTATATATTACGGCTAATGGTATCCGTTTAATATATTCTTCCCTAAGTAGAAGGAAGTAAATATCTCGTGTCTTTTTTACATACATGATCTTAATTATATCGAAATACTTTAAAATGAGAAAAAAAGTATTTTAAACATTACCATACGGGTATTCAAAACTTAGGATCGATTACATCATAACATGTCGCGTTATTTAGGGTATGATCACCCATAATGGGCATTATATGGAACTCAAAATTGACAACATAGTCAGTTATAATAAGTTTACCACCTGTATGCAAAATAAAAACGAACTTTACCGTACGGAAACCGAGGTATGACCACTTTTTCTAAACTTAAGCTTGGATGTTAAGGCCCTTTTCAGAAATAAGAAACCTTTAAATAACCTACAACATCATCCAAATGAAAAAAAAAATTCAATATTTTTTAAACAATCGGTAACATTCTGCCACATGTAACAATCCACATAATCAAAATCATTGTTACTACTAAATAATTTATAAAATATATATAAAAATGTTACCCTACCCATATTTAACACGCGTTTGTTCAATTTCCTACTTAGAGAGCCCAATTAAAAAGGAAATTCCCAATATTTACCAAAATGAGTGCCTGTTTTTAGAGTTTCCCATTCTATGTATATGAGTCAAATCTTGTAAAATATTAAATACTTTTACCGTGACCAACATTCTTGTAAACATTCAGGCCTACAGGGTAAATATGTTTTTAGCTATACATGAACAAGTTGAAAATTGTAAATTTATACTAATTCAAGGGCAATAATTCTAACAAAACTGAAAAAAAAATCCACATGCAATATCCAAGGTGCATAGCTTCACAGTGATGTTGATCTGTTGGTTAATTTTACCTCAAGCACTTATGCTGATCAACATTCCTGACTTGGTCAAATTTCATTTCATCTACGTGCGACACAATTTAAAAATTGTAAATGTTTCCAAGTCAAGGGCAAAAACTCTACACATACTAAAAAAATCCACACACAAATACCCAGTTGCACAACAACAAATGATGATCAACATTCCTGTAATGTTTCATGACCCTAGGTCATTTTTTTTAGCTTCTTGCGACACAAGTTGAAAATTGCAAATTGTAACTAAGTCAATGACAATTACTCTTACAAAACAGAAAAGATTCACAAGCAAAGTACCAGGCGCACAACGTCACATGCTGAGCAATATTCCTGTTAAGTTTCATGGCTCTAGGTCAATTCATTTTTAGCTACATTCGACACAAGTTGAAAATTGCAAATTTTGACAAGTCAAGTGCAATAACTTTACAAATGCTAAATCAATCCATACGAAAATACCCTGGTCCCGTGTTCAAAAAGATTTAAGGATCAAGACCAGGATCAAATTTAAAAACTCAAATATTCTTCATTGTTTCTCATCATAGATTAAATATCTAATATTAATTCGATAAAACTTGACCTGCAATTGCAAGTTTATAAAATTTAAGAAAACATGTTGTTATTTTGCAAGATACGGGTATTTAACAGTTGATCCAAAAACTGATCCTGATCCTAAAATGGATTTTGTATGTGTTTTGTTCTTTGTTTATTTTATCCCAAAATAGTTTGGTTTCTTTACAAATCAGCATTTTTTTTACATTTTGAAAATTAACCATTTAATTCTAGTAAAACACGATTATAATTTTAGTTACATAAAACAATGAAAATAAAGTCAGGATCACTTGATCCTGATCTTGATCTTTTCTTAGTGAACATGGGGCCAAGGTGCAGAAATGCGCATGCTGAGCAACATTCCTCTAAAGTTTCATGACCTAGGTCAAATACTATTTGAGTAGCGTGCGACTCAAAATGAGAACGGACGGACGGATGAACGAAGAAGGGTTAATCTAACTGCGCCCCTCCCCTAAGTTGGGGCACAAAAAAGAAAGGTTGACCATTCTGGGGTTTGAACCAACGGCCGTAAGTTTCTAATAGGTCTGTCTAGGCACACTTGCTCTTTCGTCTATCTGAATCATTTAATAGATCAATGATCAATGACAAACTAAAGGTAATATAATCAGTATTCAATCATTTGACGGTCAATGTCATTTAAAGGTCAAGGTCATATCTAAATTATCCGCATGTATGATTGGTCACAAGTGTTGTTTTGTCCAGTTATGAATCAAATCTGTAACAAATTTGTGACTTAGGGATTCTGTTTTTCACTATTTTATTTATGTTTCTTCTTCTCTCCATCTTGAACAAACAAAGTCACTCCTGAATCATTCCATTTAAGCAGTTTTAAAGTCATCATTTTGTTATTGACATTTAACTATTGTTAAATTTGTGACGTCATATTTTGTGACGTCACAACATAAGCAATGCAAAATGTGCTGTTACGATGACGGTTAACCCACTTTTGATCACCATGGTTTTCACGTATTTTATTTTACATTTCTTGCTGGAAATTGATGGTTTGATAAGTAAAAACGGTAATATTGATATTTGAGATGAAATGCGTTAAACTCCTGACAAAATTTTGTCCTTGTGCTATGATTTTGTGTCACCTCTACGGAGGAGTCGCAACACATAGGGATGACTTTTCCATCGTCTGCCTCTCCATCCGTCACAAAATTTGTTCGGACTACTCCTCATAAACTACAGGTGCAATTTCATTCAAACTTTACAGGAATGATTAATGTTAAATCTAGTCGTGCATATTGTCAGCATTTTCCGTTGCAATGATTTTTGTCAGAGTTATGACACTTCAAAATATTTTTAAAGTTTGTCCGAAATAATTTATACTAAGGTTATTTCAATGAAAATTTACAGGATTGATCTGTGGCTGAAGTCATTGCGCATATTGCACGAGTTTTTCGGTTAAGTGATTTTTGGTCGACTTATTGCCCTTGAATAAAAATATGTTTTTGTGTGATGCAAGATACGCAAAAAGCTTGTCCGGACTTCTCCTAAAAAACTACTGGTGCAATTACATCCAATCGTTACAGGGATGATTAGTTTTAAGTCTAGTTGTGCATATCAGCGGCTTGTAATGGTCCAATGAATTTTGTCGGATATATGCCCATTCAATTATTTTGTTCTTAAATTTGTCCGGACTACTTCTCTTACACTACTGGTGCAATGGCATTGAAAATTTATAGAATTGATTGGTAAGTCGTGTGCATATTTGAATGATTTTAGCCCAGTTATGGCCCTTGAATGAAAGGGTGTAAATAAACATTGTCCAGACTACTCCTCTTATACCACTGATGAAATGTCAATGAAATTTTAAAGGACTGATTGGTAGGTCAAGTACTTGTGCAAAAGACACATTCTCCAAGTATGTTTGGTTGAGACCACGCAAACAGAAAATGGACAAAATGTTACTGAAGCTTTCAAATACATCACGGTTGAATCTGGTCGGAGACCTCGACGATTAATAACTGACAAAGGTATTTATAAACTATTATTATTTCACCAATGTAAATTTCCCGTTTACTTTTATTATTTATAGTATGTGTACTTTAGAAATGACAACAGTATTAATATATTTTATACATTTTGTTTGTTTTCAGGTCAGGAGTTTAGAGCCAAGACGGTGCAAGAACTAATGAAGAAACATGACGTAATATATTCACCCACACAAAATGAGACAAAAGTGCGTACATCCGGAAGGTAAAACTTATTATTTATACTAACATTAAGATATTCTTCATTATTTACTGTATTTTTTAATGTTGACTTGAATAACTATTTAATTATATGTAATGTAAATCTAATGTAAATATATATTTTTCTTGTATCTTGTAGGGCCATTCAAACAATAAAAACGAGAATAATGAACTACCTGAACTACAAGGACAATTACACGTATTTACCAATTCTTGATAACATCGTGGAAAGTTATAATCAAACATTTCACCGAACAATTGGAATGAGGCCCATTGATGTGAAGGAGACCAACCAGGAGGAAGTTAGATTATCAACGTACTTCACACAAAACGAAAACAAAGGAAAGGGGAACATTAAATTGAGACCCTTCAAATTTAAGATTGATAATTATATACGGATCAGTCATCTGCGCACTGTGTTTACGCAAACGTATGATGAAACCTACACTGGAGAAGTGTTTCGGGTTTACAAACGTTATTACAGAAATACATTGCCTATTGTCGTCTTCAGGACATGCAACAAGAAGAAATTAAAGACTCATTCTATGAAAGCGAGTTACAGAAAGTGGACATTGATCCTAATCAAACATGGAAAATAGAGAAAATATTAAACTCCCGAGGAAAAGGACGAAATAAACAACTCTACGTCAAATGGAAAAGTTTCCCGCCTAAATTTAAGAGTTGGATAAAAGCTTCGGACTTCAATTAACGTTTTTGAGTTTATGTGTAAAATACTTAATATTGAGATGAAAGCTTCGGCCTTAAATTAACAATACTGTGTGTGTTTGTGAGTTTATGTTTAAAATATTTACTTTCTAAAAAATATAACTTTATTAATTGTATTTACATGTTGTAAATTGTACCATAAAAAAAACGTTTGTAAATAAATGTAAGTATGTAAACACCGGCTTGTTTTGCTTAAACCTTTATCACTGATATAACAACTTGTCGTCTGCTCTGTTAAACGCAATAAATAACATTTAACTACTGTAGCGTTGTAAAAATTGTTAAACCATATAGTTTAAACCGATGTTGACTCTCCCGCTGGTAAAGGTTAAGTGGGCGAAAATAAAATCCAATAAAGAGTACTGTGATTTAACTGGCTAATGGATAGTCACTTTTTGTAAAATTGTGAAAAAAATTAAATCAAATGTTTACCTTTGTCCGTATGAATGGGTTTCGCTTTTTATCTGTCAGTAAAAGGTTTATTGTCTCGATGTGTATCTATCGGTGGTTACAATACAAGTGAAATTATATTATTGGAGAAAGGGTTAAATATCATAAACGGGTAAAAGATGATGCGCCCGACAGAGATTATTCAGTTTAACGGACTATCGGCGGAAAAAAACCGTCGTCTGCTTTATACTGTCATTTTTAAACCCATTAATTTTCTTCCCTGCGCAACAGTGCATAAAAAGCGGATGAATCACGCCGCGCTTAAATGGTTCCGATTTTTTACTCAAAAATCTGGTCCAGGCTTCGCCCCTTGACTACTAGTCCGGACTACTCCTTTTATACCACTCATTCAATTTCACTGAAACTTTACAGATTACATGTTCACATGTTATCTGCACAAGTCAAAATGATATACAGTATTATTTTGTGTTCATGTAAATTTCGTAATAACCCCATGTTGTACGATATTATATCTTCTTGTACCTGGGTGAATAAAAGATATGTTCTGTTCTGTTCTGTTCTGATAATTTGACAAGTTAACATGTTATCTGCACAAGTCTTCATAATACAGTCGAGACTGTCATATGTGACTTTCCAAGGGATCTTGAGAAAAAGGTCACATATGACAGGGAGTCTCTTAATACAGTCTCATAGAAAATTAAAATTCAAATACCATTTATCTGTCTATATATCATTGTGACTTAACATATATATACTGTATAACTGTGTGAAGGAATAATATCTTACCAATTGAAAATACACATAGGTACTTTAAATATTTGATGTAAATAAAATAAGAATCCCTGTAAAGCAAATATACTAGTATGTATATTATATAAAATTTAATTAATTTTTTTGTATTTGTTTAATATTGAATCATTATGGTACAAAATAAACTTGAATTTGATGCATTCAAATCTTTAAAATAAATATACTTTTAAAAACATATCCATTTTAGTCTGGTATTAACATTTTTTCGTATTATCCATGCAGCAATAGAAAGGTAAAATAAAAAAAAAAATTGCCTAACAAAATCTTCCGTTGGCACTACATAATTATTTAAACACAAGTCTTAATCCAGTTTACTCAGTTCATTATGATCATTGCACCTGTGACCTCAATTTGTTAATACACATCGATTGCATCAGACGCTACGGACACTACAGACGCTACGTCACTTGACACCTGCATATATACATGTAACCAGAGGTGTGTAGAGTTTGTTTGAAGAGTACTGACTACTGGATTATAAATGGACTTAATTATTTTGTCTCTCTGGGTGTTAAAACAGGTATAATTTATCTGATTAACGAACAATTAAAAGGTGTGAAAGTCGTTTAAATCAGACAAAGCAATGCATTGGGACCAGATAATTAGGGTCGCTTGTCACATATGACAGGGAGTCGTTAAATCCAGACCATTTATATAGGAAAATACGTTGGGAGGACTGAAACAAGGTCGGATAAGACAGGGAGTCGTTGAAATAAGGGGGTCGCTAAGGCAGTCTCGACTGTACTTTGACAAGTTAGCATGTTGTTTGCACATGTCATCACGATATTTCAACATGTTAACATACTGTTTGCAAATGTCATCAGGATAATTTGACAAGTTAACATTCTGTTTGCACATATAATCATGAAATTTTGACAAGTTATCATATCATTTGCACAAGTCATCACGATACTTTGACAAGTTGACATGTTGTTTGCACATGTCATCACGATAATTCGACAAGTTAACATGCTGTTTGCATATGTCATCACGATTATTCCACACGTTTAGATGTTGTTATCATGCACAAGTTATCATGAAATTTTAACAAGTTAACAAGTCGTTTTCACAAGTCATTAAGATATTTTGACAAATTAACAGGTTGTATGCACAAGTCATTACTATCCTTTGACAAGTAAACATGGTGTTTTCACATGTCATAACGATAATTTGACAAGTTAACGTGTTGCTTGCACATGTCATCATGAAATTTTGACAAGTTTGCACAAATCATCATGATACTTTGACAAATAAATATCACCATGTTTGACACAAGGCACATACGAATGATATCTTGACAAGTTAGTACATGCTGTCTACACATGTCATCAAAGATAATTTGACAAGTTAACATGTCATTTGCACGAGTCATCACGATATTTTGACAAGTTAACATATTGTTTGCACAAGTCATCATGATACTTTGACAAGTTAACATGCTGTCTACACATGTCATCAAGATAATTTGACATGTTAGCATGGTGTTTGCACAAGTTATCATAATACTTTGACAAATTAACATTGCATTTTGACATGTCAGCATGATAAAGATAAAATGTCGTTTTCGCAATCATCACGATTCTTTGACAAGTCAAGAAGTCGTTTGCACAAGTCATCATTACATTTTGACAAGTTAACATGTCATTTGCTCAAGTCATTATATTTTTTGAAAAGTTAATATGTTACTTGCACATTTCAATACTTTGACAAGTCAATAAGTCGTTTGCACACGTCATCATTATATTTTGACAAGTTAACATTTCATTTGCACAAGTCAGTAAAAAAAATCTATCAATATTCACTCCTCAGCGCCTCTATGCTTTTGATGACTTTACAACTGGTAAATTCTATACAACAAAAATAGTAATACCTAAGATAGACAGAAAAGAACAAATAATTAAGTAAACATGAGTTACTTCTCCTTAAAAAAGAGAAAGCCTGAAACCCAAAAGAACAGCCTAAACAGCAAAGTTATGAAATGTTGCAGGCTCAGTTTTATTAAGCCATGCAAAGCAATGTTAAAGTATTCATAAAAAGTTAGATGGCCATGTGACAGCAGTTATTGCAGAAAATCGGATAGCTTTCAACATCCGGATACTGGTACACTTTGTAAAAACAATCATTCTGTGCAATAGATAAACGTAATATGGATAACATCAATAGGGTAATCGTTTAAAACAGTTCCATTACCTATCCTTATACTTATTTGCAGGTGAATGTTCTTCTTGTAGGAACATTTTGAAAAGATATAAATGAATGAAAGGAATACGGCATCAATGTAGACCACAACGATATTCGAAATCCTGGTTTTAGTATTGCCAATAAAGCTCAGGAACAAGCTGTTAAACTGAGCTTGCAATTTCGTGAAAATAATATCACAATGCACATGCTTTTTACATAAAGTTATCAAATACAAATATAACAACATATTTGATTTCTTGATTTTTACGAATCAAAATAAAACTAATTAACACAACATGACATTCACAGCTAATAATAATAGCTCCTTCCATAGGCCAAAATAAAAAGCAATCCATAAGAGACGACGTCGCTCACCGGCGTCGCCAATAAAATATACTCGATTTGATTTAAAAAAGAAATTTTCTGGTCATTGATTCAAGCAAGTCAATGTTGAAGGTTAAATAACACTTAACCTGGTGCTAGGTAGCGTGAACCATGTTCATTTCATTCCTGATGAATAGACTCTGTCAATCCTTGTCAGCTGGGCCGCCAACTTCACGCCGCTAGGCCGCTGTGCCGCCAACTTCACACATCTATTCGAATGAGCAAATGCAAGGTTCATGCAAAATGTTAGATAATTACCATTACGTCATAGAACCGTGCAACGGAAAAGGTAATAAAGAATCTAAACCTATATCTTGGGTTTGATTTTGCATTTCAAAGTATATACAAGTTGTTTTGCCCGATCTGCAGAACTATGTGTTAATGTTAATAACGGACCGATAGTGCTTTGTAAAACTTTATTGTAATTCAAGAGATGATTTGGTGCCTAAGTATTATATGTTCACTTTTTAATTAATAATGTCCATACAAAACAAAAAAAATATATCGGCATTTTTCAAAGACCCTTATTTACTCAAAATTCTAAGCTATTATCTACGGTGTTCTGTTTGGAAACCGTCTCATTATTTAACCCTGCTTTGCGTATATTTAAGATCTTTGCATTTTAAACATGAAAAATAACAAAAGCTCAACAGTTTAAAATATTTAAGTTGTCATCCTTGTTGTACATATAAAGTCTTAAAGATCCTGTAGCAAATTTTTTTTCATGGTTTTATTTCATAAATATGATGCTCAAATTAAAATTTGTCAATATTGTAAGTTCCAATAAGCATTATTTACAAAGATATTACCCAATTTAAAATTTCTTGTAAATAAAGGGAGGTAATTGGAAATTTATTTTCTATAAATTCTAACTCAAATTTTCCAATGAAAAATGAATGCATGTGTTTTATTGATTACTAGTAAATATGATGTGCACAAATATTTGCAGTACACATTTAATATATTCTTTGATGTTTGAAAATTGTTTTATTTTCATAATTATATACATATATAACCTTTTTGCAAGTGTGGTATACTCACAGTAACAATATCAATCACAAAACATACAGGATCTTCAAATACAGCAAATGAAAACATGCAAACATTTATTAAGCATATATTAGCATAATTTTATATTAAATAGTCTTTGATCTATATACCGTATAATGAAATGGAAAATTTAATGCAAAGATAAGA